AGAAAGAAGGAAAGAAAAGAAAGAAAGAAAAGGAAGCTGAGGTTAGGTAAGGGAAAGTTAAAAAGTAGGCCAAGCTGAGCACCGCTGTCTCACACCTGTAATCCTAGCTACTCAGAGGCTGAGATCTGAGGATCACAGTTTGAAGCCAGCCCTGGCAGAGAAGCCCATGAGACTCTTATCTCCGATTAACTGGCAAAAAGCCAGAAGTGGCTCAGTGGTACAATGCCAGCCTTGAACGAAAAAGCCAAGCAAGAACATGAGGCCCTGAGTTCAAGCCCCAGTATCAGCACAAGAAATAGAAAGGGTGGGGGGGCGGGGAGGGAGAGAGGGAGGGAATGGAAAAGGTCAGGATTCCAGGACTGGAAAACAGCTGTACTAGGACCAGCTGGATTTGAGGTGGACTCGGGAGTGGGGTGGGGGAGGGGAGGGGAGGGGAGCCAGAGAGTAAAGCAATCGAATGCTGGTGTCTGGATGCAGTAAAACCTCAGAGGTGGCAATGAGAAACCTAACTGGCGAGATGGGCCGCAGCTCAGGAGGTTATATATTTTTGTGGCCAGTCAGACAGTGGTTTCATGTGGCGGCAGGAGAATTGTTCTGTTGGATTAGGAGGTAGAGACAACACTCGTTTCTTGTATTCGTATGCATCTTGGAGTCTGGGCTGCTTTTTCTTTATCTTGAAAGCATCCATTGTGAACTAACTACCTGTGGAGTGTGCTGCTGGGCCCATAGAGCACATCCAGCTTGCAGACATTGACCGTGGCCCTGGAGGAGCTTCCTATCCCGGGGGAAAGAGGAGAGAAGAGATGCCTCTCCGTTCATAGAATGTGAGCTGAGCTGGCGCTGCGGTGCCGCGCCAGGGTGGAGAGCCCGCCTAGGATGCGGGCTCCGCGCTCCTCACGTACATGCACAACTTCCTGTATCCTTAAAATAACTCTTAGAGGTGGATGCCAGGCATCTCTCGGTTTTATAGATGAGGAAGTTGAGGCTGTGAAGGGTGAAGTGACCTCCCCGAAACCACACACCTGCTGAGTGACAAGGTGTGATTAGCACCCCCTCACACTGATGGCAGAGCCGGGACCGAAGCCCCAGATCAGCAGTACCTCTAGAGGTGCAGTAAAGGTATGCTTTCATGTGCACTGAGCAGTTTTCAAGTTGTTACTTGGTTAACAATCTGTAAAACATGTACTGACTCATCTGCTGTGTTGTGGTGTTTCTGTGGTCGTGTACAACGCTCAGTACAACTGCTTCATCTCCAGCAGTTGCCCCCCCCCTTATTCTCTCCCTCTCCCTGTCTCCCTCCCTCTCTCCTTTCTTATTCATTCACTCATTTATGTCAGTCTTGGGGGTTGAACTCAGGGCCTGGGCACTGTCCCTTAGCTTTTTTGCTCAAGGCTGGCATTCTACCACTTGTGCCACAGTTCTGCTTCTGGTTTTCTAGTGGTTAATTGTAGAGAAGAGTCTCAGGGATTTTCCTGCTTGGTCTGGCTTTGAACTGCAATTTTCAGCCTGCTGAGTAGCTAGGTGTGAGCCACTGGTGTCCAGCATCATTTGGCCTCCTGTTCTGAGAAGGGCCAACTAGACAAGGGGATTTTTTTTTTGCCAATCCTGGGGCTTGAACCCAGGGCCTGGGCACTGTCCCTGAGCTTCTTTTGCTCAAGGCTAGTGCTCTACCACTTGAGCCATAGCTCCACTTCTGGCTTTTTCTGTGTATGTGATACTGAGGAATTGAACCCAAGGCTTGCTTCATGCATGCTAGGCAAGCACTCTACCACTAAACCACATTCCCAGCCCCACAAGGGGAATATTTGAAGAGAGAAAACAAGATTTTTTTTTCAGTGCTAGGAATTTAACCTAGTCCTAGATCCTTACACCTGTTAGACTCACCGCTCCCCCATTGAGCTGCCCCCCCAACCCAATTTCATTTCTGTTGTGTGGACATTGGACCTGTTTATTTGGAGCCAAACATATGCTACAGCATTTTGATTATGCTGACATTCTCCTTTTTTTTTTTTTTAAAGACTTTTCTAGATCACATATACAAGAATTTTGTATATAAAAATGATAATGCATTGTATGTATATGATATATATATATACAATATTGTATATCATATAATTAAGTTGTAGACAATTACAAATACAATTAATATCATTTGCACACAGTGAAGCCATTTTAAGAACTTTCCTCTTTAAAAGTTTCCTAGTCATATTCTGGTTCCCAAACCCTATGTACAACACAGTTTTACATTTTGCACACAAAGGCATCTTTTTAAAAAAATATGAAGTTTCATCACTGTGCAGGAAAATATACAATGCTGCTTTTCTTTTGTCGTCTTGTGAAGTGATTACAGTTTCAGGGGTTCCCGGGGAGTCAGGTCCTTCCCATGGCGGCTGTTGCGGTGCTTTGCAAACCCCTCCCTCAGATTTAAAATTAGATTTGACAACTGGCATTCTCAAAGTAGGTCTTGACTGGTTGGGCGGTCAGAGGGTATCCCCTCTTCTGTGCAGTGCCACACTGCTGGACTTGGTCGTTTACTTTGATGCAGAAAGACTGCTTGTTCACAAGATCCCTTTCAGGCCTGACCAAAGGGTGAGTTTTGGAATCAAACAGACTTGAATTCTCCCAATTAACACTAGTAGTGACCTCAGGCAAATTACCTGGAAATGGGGAGGCGCCTCAGCTACACAATCAGGATAATTGAAGCTTTTTCTTTAGGTTGATTGTAGGCTCCTGTGATGATACCAATAAGTAGCAGAAGACAGGTGGCACTTAGTAGGCCCTCAGTAAGAGCACTACAGTGCTCTCTTCTGATTTGAGCATTCTTTACGAAGATTGCCACGTCCTGGGACTCCATAAATTCACATTTGTTAAGTCATTGCTTTTTTTAAAAGATTAATTCATTTTTGAATGGTAGGTAATATTTGTGTATATTTATGAGGTATAATATAGCCTCTTTATATTTATATCTATGTATCTGTATAGATCTATATCTCTCTGTCCACACGTTTGTATGGTGGTGGCAGCGGTGTAATCGGTACAGTCAGGATTCTGGTTTGCTTGAGTTTTTGGCTGGCCTGGAAGGACAGCTTTCTGAAATCCATTAATATTGCCCTGGCCTTGTGGTATAACAGCTGTAATACTTGCTTGGTGGGCCTTAATTGCAATGAATAATCCATGGACTCTTTTGAAATGCAATTCTTCAAAATGGGTATTATAATTAAATTCTAGCCAATCCAGAGCCACTTTAAACCATGTTTAAAAGTTTTCCCAAGCCAATTAGAACACTGGTTGGTCTAACCATCCATTGGGGAGAAATATGTGAATTTATGCAGAGATGGCTGTTGTAGGAAGGCCTAGGCTGAACTGGAAGCTAATCACCTTCTGATGACACGCTGTCACTCAGTGGATTTGAACGTCATTTAAAAAAAATACAAAGCGTACTTTATAAATAATGATGGAGTAGCAGATATGTTATTGTTGTGTTTTATAAAAAGGTCTTCTGTTGAATATGACATTGTATGCCAGTCTTGACTTTTTTTTTTGCCAAATAGTACAAGGGTACAAGTACCCTTACTTAAGTAAGCAGGGTTCATAAAGTATATTTTGGTGCTGGAGATTGAACCAAGGATGCCGCTGGCATCCTAAACACACACTGAGCTACACCTCCAGCTCTACCAAAAAAAATTTTTTTTTACTGACTTATAAGGGGATATATAAAAGAATAATTGAATTTAAATGCTAAATCTAGGAATTATTTTCTTTAGGACACACCAGGTACCTGGGGGACAGGGTTTCATAGTAATCCACATTACCACGGGCATCATGAAATAATTGTAGAACATTATTGAGGCTTACATTTGTATTTCTTACACCTGAGTTACACTGTTGTACAATTAACCTTTTATCCATTTTTGATGTTTATTTGAACAAAAAGACAAACTAACCTCCCACTGTATTTTGTGGGCATTTGTAGTTAGCAGACTGGAAAGGAGCTCTCTTCCACTTCAGGCTATGATAATTAACATTTATTTAAATGCTTTGGCTACTTGATGGTTTCTGGGGAAGCCTCAACAATTGGAGATTTGAAGCAGGTGGTAATTATACTTGGGTCTAAGAGTGCTAAAAGATTCTGTAGCTTTTTTTTTTTTTAATTTATTTAATGCAGATTCCACAAATAAAAGCTACCTAAACTCGTGGTGGGGATTGAGTGTTCTGAATGTGGTATAGGAGTCTCCTCAGCTTTCTTTAGCATAGTGTTGTTTTTTTCTTTTCACATTGAGTTACCCTTTTCACTGACAAGGCTGATCTGCTGTAGGGAATGGAAAGGGGTATTGCAAAGGAAAGTTTACTACCTTAGAAAGTTTGGCTACACCAATGACTAGTGAAATGACTTAAAAAGTGACGCTTTCATTTCTTTTAAAATGTATGCAAAACAAGCCTGCACTGTGGTTTACTCTAACTATAATTCTAAACAAATATTATTTTTGTTACTCCCCCCACCACGGTTCAAGTTAAAAGCTGGTGTGTTCGTGTGTGTTTGTGTGTGTGCGGGGACGGATCAACACGCATCTTGTAGCTCTTAAAAGGGGGGGGGGAGCCAAATAAACCCTGTTGTTGTTGTTTTTAATCCCAATCCATCTCAAAGTTACAAAGAATCCCAAAGCAAACGGATCCACAGCCGGAGAGGCTGATTTTAAAAATTCTAATTAAAATCTAATCCCCCTCCTTTTTTTTTTCTTTTTCTTTCTTTTTTTTTTTTCTTCTTCTTCTTTTTCTGCCAGGCAAGAAGCGAAGTTTGGAGGTAGACGAGCAAGCGCGCGGTGCGCCCGGGCGCGGAGCATGCAGGCCGGGCGGGCGCGGGGAGCGGGCGCCCGCCGCCCGGCGCGGGGGTGAGCGAGAGAGAGAGAGAGCGGAGCGCGTGTGGCCGGCGCCGCTCGGCCGGGAGCTCCCGCGCCCGCGCCCCGCGCCTCGCGCCCCGCGCCCGCCGCCGCCGCCGCCGCCCCTGGTGCGATGGCGCAGAAACCCCGTTGACAAGGCACTGCTTTTTCATGACGGTGAGTTTCCCTTTGAGTGTATTATAATTTTGTGATAAAAATTTCAAGGAGAAAAACACACACGCGCGCGCACACACACTCACACACACGCACACACAGCCTCCTTCCTCTGCCTCCTTCCTTTGGGGAGGGGAGAGGCGGGGGGGGGGGGGGGTAGGCAGGAGATCCATCTCCAGACAGACAGAAAAAGAAAAGAGGAGCAAATTAAACATCGAGTTGCCAAAACCAGGATATTAGGTTTCAGCCCAGAGAGCTATTGGCTAAGGCTGTGTTTTTTTTTGGGGGGGGTGGGTTTGTGGGTGGGTGATGGTGGGGTGGGTGGATGTTTAATGGACACGGAGAATCGAGTGTTTATGCCTTTTCCCTGCGCCGCCCGCCCGCCCGCCGCGGCCCGGGGAAGCCCAAGTTCAGTGTCGCGGGCGGGCGGGCCGGGGCCGGGCCGGGGGCGCCGCGGGGTGGGGGCCCGGCGGGGTGGGGACCCCGGCGCCTTTCTTTTCCTTTTTTTTTTTTTCCTTCCCCCTTCCCGCGGATGCAAATGTGTGGAGCGGGTGGAGGGCGAGAGCGGGGCCGGCAGGGGTGGGGGCGGCGGCGGGCGGGCGGGCGGGCAGGGCAGCGTTTTAATGACTCATTGATTGAGTGGGGTGGGGGGGAAGGAGCGGGGTGCGTGCGGGGTGCGAGGGTGTCTTCCGCCCCCCGGAGCCGCCGGGGCTCGGCGAGGGGAGGCCGGGCGGCGAGCCGGGGGCAGGGAGGGCCGGGAGTGACGGCGGGCGGGCGGGCGGGCGAGGAAAATCAGCTTTCCCAATCTCCTCCCCTTCTCGCGCCGGCTCCCCCCGCGCCCTCCGCGGTCTCCGGCGCTCCCGGGTGGGAATCGCATTTGCCTTTTTCTTCTCCACAAAATGGACACCGCGGCGGGGAGGGGCGGGCGGCGGCCGGGAGGACCGGCTTCGGCCCCGGCCCCGGCCCCGGCCCCGGCCCCGGCCCCGGCCTCGGCCTGCCCGCCGCCTCCGCCGCCCGCCGCCAGGCCCCGGGGTCCCACTTCGGCCCGAGTCCGCGGCGGGCAGCCGCCGGGCCCCGGGGCCCCCGGACCGGGACCCGCGGCCTGCAGGGCCGGCCGGCGACGGGCCGGGCCGGGGCCGGGGACCGGCGCGCCGGCTGGGCTTTTTTTTTTAATATTAAAAAAAGACTTTTTTGACGGAGAGTCCCCGGCCCGACGCGGGTCGCGCCCCCCGGGTCGCCCCGAGGCTCGGGGAGGCGGCGGCGGGGTGTCTGGAAGGCGCTAAGATGGCGCTGGGCCTGGCCCGCGGCCAGGGCTGGTGGCGCAGTTGCTCGGCAGGCGCCATCTTCCCTCGTGGCGCGGGCGGCGCCCTCGGTGGAGCCTCGGCCGGCCCGAGCTCCGAGGAGCCCGGGGCGCAGAGCAGCCGGGCGAGGGGCGGCGGACTCCCGTCCCTCGCTGGGGCTCCGGGCCCCGGGGGTCCCCACGACCCCAGCCCCCCCCAACCCTCTCCCTCCCGAGACCAGGCCGAGGGGCCCGGAGCGCGGCGGCGCCCCTCCGCGGTCGCCGACGGGCCGGGCGCGGCGGCTGCGGTCGGCTCGGCGGCTCTGGGGCCCCGCCGACCCCGCTGCCGCGGCCCACAGGTGGGGCTGAGGGGCTCTGGGCGGCGGTGCCTCTGCCCGGGCTGCTCCTGCCTGCTCGGCCCAGTTTGTTGCAGAACAAAGACTCGGGGAGAGGGTCCGGGCGGCCGCCGGCCTCCTGCTTTTTAGTTGGTTGTCTTGTTGGAAGAGCCCCGGAGAGGGGTTTATCCCGGTGTCAGCTCGTAGGGAGGTGACTGGAAACGTGGTCGGTCTTCCTGACTACTTCAGACGAGGGTAAAGTTGTCAGTGTCTTCGAACTTTGAAGAACTGAAGGGCTTACACACACTTAAGATTGCTTTTCCCTTTCATGATAACAAGGCTTTCCTTAAGAGCATTGGTACAACTATGTATCCGCATTGGAAAGGTGCAGAAGCCATTTCAACTAAGTTGTACATTGTTACAGAAGAGAAAAGATCTACTAAAGCCCTGATCTCCTTTGGAGTCTGCCTAGATGGGTTTCTTGAGGTTAAAAGTAGTACAGTGGCTGGCCAGCAGCTGTGTTCTGGTGTTAACGAGCTCAGCACATAATAGCAGATGGTAGAGACCCTCCAGTCAAAGCTACTACACGTTGAACTCTTTCTTCTATTTATTATGTCATCCCTGCAGTGTTGATTTTGTTATCTATGTAGATGAGTTCATGTTTATAGAGGTTTAGTAATATTCAAGGTCTTGCTGTTTGACTTAGTAAAAGTAGCATTGGATCCCTTTGCTGTGCAGTATGATTTCCAAATCAGAGTATCAAAATCAGCTGGGAGATGTTTTAAGTATAGATCTGTAACCTCTTGTATTTGCTAGGGCCAGTTGTGCCATGTAGTAATATGTTAGGCAACCTCAGATTGTGTTTGTGTGCTGGTACTGGGGCTTGAACTCAGCGCTTGGGTGCTGCCCCTTGCACATATTTTGCTCAAGGCTAGTGAGTCCTCCTCTACCACTTGAGCCACAGCTCCACACTCTGCTTTTTTTTGGGGGGGGGGAGGACCGGGGGCTTAATTGGAGGAGGTGAGAGTCTTCTGGACTGCCCGGACTGAGGCTTTTTTATGAGTAGTTTGTTGGGGATAGAGTCTCACAGGCTCCTCAGATCTCAGCCTCCTGAGTAGCTATAATTACAGGCGTGGGCCACCAGGTCCCTCCTCCCCCCTGCAACCTCAGTTTTAATAACTGGTTTTGAACTTCTTGATTTTCCTAATCCTCTATAATAGTGACATTCTGGCCTGCTTGAAGACCCCTTCCATGGGGGGGGGTCCTGTTCCTATGGAGTTCCCACTTGACCCCAGGGCGCGGTAGGTAGGCATTTGGAATATCCTACAATTCCTTGGAATTGAAACATGAGTTGAGGCCCGTATATTACACAGTTTCCACGATCTGTTTTTCCCTTCTAGTTGCCATTCATCAAATTATTAAAATTTTGTTTAGGGATCTTTAGCTGAACTTGATGTAATATCTATAATTCTAGAGAATATCTGGGAGATTGAGGCAGAAGAATTCTTGAGTTCAGGGCCAACCTGGACTATCTGTGACATCTTGAGTCTTAACAAAGAATTGGGGAAGAATGGGTGAGAATGTTGAAAGAGGACAATAAACTGCTTTATTGATGGGAACTTTGTACAACTACTTAAAAATAACAAAAATAAGTAAAAACTTAAAACCAAGGTAAATGTAACACCAGTACATTTTGTATTTTTAGTATTTTATTGTCTTGTTTTGGGAAGAAGGTACATACCAGTTTTTTTTTTTTTTTGGGTCCGGTCGTGGGGGCTGAACTCTGGGCCTGGGCCTGGGCCTGGGCGCTGTCCCTCAGCTCTTCAGCTCAAGGCTAGCGCTCTACCACTTGAGCCAGCGCCACTTCCGGCTTTTTTTTTCTTTTTGCTTATGTGGTGCTGAGGAATCGAACCCAGGGCTTCAGGCATGCAAGGCAAGCGCTCTACCACTGAGCCACCTTCCCAGTCCCTACATACCAGTTTCTAAGTTAAGCCAGACCAACTAGTTTAGTGAAAACTGCACATAGAGTTGAATCCAGGATTTGTATAGGGACTAGTAATAAGGTAGAAATAAAGACCTAGAAGTAAATCCTTGTAAGAAAGTATTCTTTCCTAAACTTTTTGTTGTTGTTGTTGGTGATGGGGCTTGAACTCAAGGCCTAGGAACTGAGCTTTTTTGCTCAAGGCTAGCATTCTATCTCATGGAGCCATAGCTACATTTCTGATTTCCAGGTGGTTAATTGGAGAGAAGTTTCACAGACTTTCCTGCGTGGTCTGGCCTTGAAATGCAGTCCTCAAAATCTCAGCCTCTCAAGTAGTTTAGTGTGAGTTACAGGTATGAGCCATTGGCTCCTGGCCTTTCCTAAATTTTGAATTGAGGGTATGTCTTTTAGGTTTGGGAGATATGAATAGACAAGTTATTCTAAACATAAAAACCAAAGGAGGATAGAATATGGATAACAATACAGGTCAGAAACAAACATCTAGAACAGCTTCAGATGAGATTTTAGAATCAGAGTGATAAAGCACAGATCATGAATTTTACACTTTTTTATTCTCAAATTACTATTATGTGTAGTAACTTAGGCTAAGATGCTTGTTTCCATATTCCTCTTCCATGTATGAAGACTTGTGAGGCAGCGGTGCATCCTGCTGGCTGCATGTAGTGAGCTCTAGTTTCTAATTTTTTTTTTTTTTTTTTGGTTGGTTGTGAGGGGTGAACTCTGGACTTGGGCACTGTCCCTCAGCTCTTCAGCTCAAGGCCAGTGCTCTACTACTTGAGCCTCAGAGCCACTTCCGGTTTTCTAGTTGTTTATTGGAGATAAGAGTCTCACAGACTTTCCTGCCCAGGCTGGCTTTGAACTGCAATCCTCAGATCTCAGCCTCCTGAGTAGCTAGGATTATAGGCATGAGCCACCGGCGCCCGGCTCAGTTTCTAATATTTCTTATGGCTTTCCTCCCCTTGTTTTTCATAAGTGTCAAAATAATTATCTTTGGCTAAAGTTCAATATTATTTAAACAAGAGGGAATTGAAAATAAATCTAGGAGAGGGTAGCTTTATTATTTATTTTTTTGGGTCCGGTCGTGGGGCCTGAACTCTGGGCCTCGGCACTGTCCCTCAGCTCTTCAGCTCAAGGCTAGTGCTCTACCACTTGAGCCACAGCGCCACTTCTGGCTTTTTTTCTTTTTGCTTATGTGGTGCTGAGGAATTGAACCCAGGGCCTTATGCATGCAAGGCAAGCACTCTACCACTGAGCCACCTTCCCAGCCCGGTAGCTTTATTTTTATTTATTTATTTATTTTTGCTTATGTGGTGCTGAGGAATCGAACCTAGGGCCTCAGGCATGCAAAGCAAGCGCTCTACCACTGAGCCACCTTCCCAGGCCCGGT